TTAGCTACTTGAACTTCTATCTTTTTTGGGGGGGGTGGCCTGAACTTCTTTTTTACTATGAACTGTTACTTATCCAGATCTTTCCCTGACATTTCTCCAGAACTTTATTATTGGAAAGGTGGTCACCAGACCAGCGGCAGCACTCAGAGTCCCAGGAGCTTTTTAGAAATTCAGTCTTATGCTTCACTCCAGGCCTTCTGAGTTAGAACCTTCATTCTAACAAGATCCCCACAATGTTCCTTCCCTGGTGGCTTAGCTGGTAAAGAATCCACCTGCAATGCAGGAGTCCTGGGTTCTACCCCTGGGTTGGGAAAATCCCCTGTGGAAGGGAATGGCTACCCACTCCATTCTGGCCTGGAGAATTACATGAACTGTATAGTCCAAGGGATCACAAAGAGTAGGACACGACTGAGCGACTTTCACTTTCAGAATGTTCTGTGTGTTCATGACAGTTGAGGAGTGCTAGTCTGGAATACATTCTCCAACTTTTTCTTTTTGAAAACTTTTGTTCAGGCCCTAAGTTTATTTTTTAAATGCCCAATAAAAAAGGGTAAAACTATTTTCAGCTATTTTATTGTGCTGTTTATTCAGATTTTGTGAAGAATGATAAAAATCAGTCAATTTTGTAGTGAATCTTGAGACTTAAAGTAAAAATTTTATGTATTAGAGAAAGAGACAAGGTATATGTTCTCAGTTCAGTTCAGTCGTGTCCGACTCTGTGACCCATGAACTGCAGCACACCAGGCCTCCCTGTCCATCACCAACTCCCAGAATTCACCCAAACCCATGTCCATTGAGTAGGTGATGCCATCAAACCATCTCATCCTCTGTCGTCCCCTTCCCCTCCTGTTCTCAATCTTTCCTAGCATCAGGGTCTTTTCAAATGAGTCAGCTCTTAGTATCAGGTGGCCAAAGTATTGGAGTTTCAGCTTCAACATCAGTCCTTCCAATGAATATTCAAGACTGATTTCCTTTAGGATGGACTGGTTGGATCTCCTTGCAGTCCAAGGGACTCTCAAGAGTCTTCTCCAACACCACAGTTCAAAAGCATCAATTTTTCCACACTCAGCTTTCTTTATAGTCCAACTCTCACATCCATACATGACCACTGGAAAAACCATAGCCTTGACTAGATGGACCTTTGTTGACAAAGTAATGTCTCTACTTTTCAATATGCTGTCTAGGTTGGTCATAACTTTCCTTCCAAGGAGTAAGCGTCTTTTAATTTCATTAAAATGAATGAAATCACCATCTGCAATCACCATCTGCAGTGATTTTGGAGCCCAGAAAAATAAAGTCAACCACTGTTTCCACTGTTTCCCCATCTATTTGCCATGAAGTGATGGGACTGGATGCCATGATCTTAGTTTTCTGAATTTTGAGCTTTAAGCCAACTTTTTCACTCTCCTCTTTCACCTTCATCAAGAGGCTCTTTAGTTCTTCTTCACTTTCTGCCATAAGGGTGGTGTCACCTGCACATCTGAGGTTATTGATATTTCTCCTGGCAATCTTGATTTCAGCCTGTGCTTCCTCCAGCCCAGCACTTCTCATGATATACTCTGCATATAAGTTAAATAAGCAGGGTGACAAATATACAGCCTTGACGTACTCTTTTTCCTGTTTGGAACCAGTCTGTTGTTCCATGTCCAGTTCTAACTGTTGCTTCCTGAGCTGCGTACAGGATTCTCAAGAGATTGGGGATTTTGATGTTTAAATGTTGACCTGTGCTTAGTCGCTCAGTCATGTCTGACTCTTTGCTACCCCATGGACCGAAGTCCACCAAACTCCTCTGTCCATGGGGATTCTACAGGCAAGAATACTGGAGTGGGTAGCCTTTCCCTTCTCCAAATGTTGACCTACTAGGAGGTAAAGCAGAAAAGCTGGTTACTTACCAATAGCACATGACATTTCAGAGTGCTTCCCTTTCATAGTAACTAGCAGACTGGACTGGCCGGAGGCTGTCAAGAGTGGAGATCAATCAGGAAGCATACCTCTTTATTTGACCATCACGTTCTAAGATTGGTTTCGGAAAGGATTGCTGGAACCTAAGGGAAAGAGAAGGAGAGTTGTGCTTCTCTTTGCTTTGGGGGAGGGGTTTGGATCTTGTAGGACACTTAGGGGCAAAATAATGTTTCCTATAAAATTGTGTTTGTCCTTTATTTCCTCATCTTCCATTAGTCTTTTCTATTTCCTGTAGCCCCTTACTTTCATTTAATCCCGATAGTCGCTTTTAAGCTAGCAGCCCTTTCCCCAACCAGGCCTTCACCTCTGTTTCTGTTGAGCTCCTGTCCTTTACCTACATCAGTGGTCCTCAGATGTGGACAGTTTTGTCCCCCTGCTCCTGCGGAACATCTGAGATATTTTTGGTCACGACTGGGTTAGATGCTGGTAAAAGTCCTACAGTGGTCCAGGACAACCTTTCCCAGCAGAGAATTACCCAAAGTCTGTATTGCTGAGTTTGGGGAAACTCTAACCTGAATTTATAGCTGGAGTCCATGAATTTGTGCCTTTTTAATTCTCATTCACAAGCTTTCAAGAGTTCCACCATGGAATGAAGTCCAAACTCTTTGGCAAATGATACAAAACAATACATGATTTTTTAAAAAATTGCTTTCAAGCCTCATCTTTTGCTCTCACGGTTGGCCCTCTGTTAATGATAGATTGAAAACTTGCAGTTTTCCCCAACAACACAGTTCCTATATGCTTCCTCAAGTGCATTTTTCCTAGCCTATAATACGTCTTTCTCCCTAGCTCAGTCTGTTTTTTGTTTTGTTTTGTTTCCTATCTAGACACACTCCTCCAACACTGCTCAGACATTCATCCTCTCTGTGAAGGCTTCTTTGCCTCTCTTCTTCTTTTGGTACCTTTATTACATGTGTATTTTTAATATCACAGTGAGTGTTCAGTTTGCACAACTTTGTTACCTACTAGGTTATGTCCTCTTTTGGAGAGAAAGGTGTGTGTTTTAGTCGTCATTGTTTTCCAAGTACTTGATACAAAGTAGGCTTTCACATGCCTACTTTTTTTTTTCCTTCAAGGGATAAATAATAGTTCAGATACTTTGGAAATAGATGAGACTTTACCGTAATTTATGTTATCTGTAATGGGACTTCTATCTGTCATCTTCTTGCCTCTACATTGTGTTTTGTATTGCTGCCATCTTTCAGGTGTCCTTTGTCTTTTGTTGCTTATAATGGTATTTAAATGGTATCACTACCTTAGACCGTTTTATTCAGTATCACATGGAAAGTTTACTTTTGGATTAGACTTTAATCCCTGGCTATTTATTGAAGAATTTAAATCTGTAATGACACAAGTTTGGTGATCTCTTCTACCTAAGAGAAAAGGCCTTGGGCTAATTAAAAGTTTTGGGCGTGATGGGGTGGAGGGAGAGGAATAATAAATTCCTCTTTGGAAAAACAGGAAACATATGAGAGCTGTTGGGGAGGGAGAATCATACATGGATTCATTTAAACCTTTTTTCTATGTTGCTTAATGAACTACCATAAGAATAAATTTCACTAAAGTAGTAACTGGGTCAAAAACAAGTCTGGATTTATGAAGGATCTAAATAACAAAAGAACATTTAAAGCAATAATTCTCTTGCTTTCAAATGTGTGACTGGAGTTTGGGTGTCCTTATATAGATCCTGCTTGACAGGTTGTGATTTTGTTTAAATAAATATTCTTTGATGTGTTGAACTTTTTTGATCAGATAATGTTTAGCCCAAACATTTTCTAAAACACAAATTTTAAATTAGTGAAGGCTTAATTAAGGCTGTATTATTTTTGCTGTATGTCAAAGCCTCATTTGTTGTGAGCGATGTTATTAGAAATAACTTGCTTTAAAATTCTTTCATTTGTAATTTGGTTGTGAAGAGAATATTTTTATTCTCATTCACAAAAGTTGCCTGTGATGTCGACACAGAGAGTAATTGAATTGGCTCAAGATTGCACAGAGGTGGAAATATTGTAGCTTCATGAAACTTTACCCACTGCTGTAATTATTGGGTAGATGGGTAGTCTAGTGGCTATTCTAAGTTTAATTTCTGAAGAAAATTAATTTTAGCTGTTTACTTCTGCAGTCTTAAGACAGAACAATGAGTGAAGACAGATTTTTCTTATTTTAAGTTTTAAATTAGATACCTTCCCAAGAATATATATCAGTATTCCTTAAAGGAAAAAAAAATTGCAATTTCTCTTTAAGATGCAATTTAGTACAGATTTGCTATAATTAATAGAAGGAAGATGATGGAAACTGTCAGCCAACCACTATTAAAATTATTTACTACCTTTATTATAATGTTATCCAATGATTCTTGCTCTTATTAGATGGTTTATTTAGTATCAATCTGTTCAAATTACTGAGATTTATAAGACCAGTGAAATTTGTGTATTTTTTTAAAGTCTGAGATTATTTCTTTTCATTGAGTACAAGTTGAAGAACACCTTATGATAGATCAATTGGTACTCTGCCCTAGTTTTAAAATTGAAAAAAAAAAAGTCCATTCCTTAGAAATTAGCTGCTGCTTTTAAGTGAGTAGTTCTCAGTAGGAAATAAGGTAGTGAGATGGGGAGCAGAAAAAGATACAGCATGAAGAATTTTGTTACGTGTATTTTGTGCCCTTGAAGCCATTTCTTCATATTGCATTGAGCATAGGTAAGTGCCAGTGGAAAAAATTTGGAAAGCCTTTACTTTGCTGATAAGTTAACTTCTGTTCATTAAAGTCTTAATAAACTCAGATTATAATGGATTTCACTAAAACATCTGTTGTTTTCTGTAATATTGTTGTTAGGACTGTGGGTTCTTTTGGAGATGTGTATGTTCTGGGGTGGGGATGGGGAATGGTGGGTGGTGATAAGGACATTAGAGGGAGTGTCTCAGAAATTTTACTTGTTTCCTAGTCCACCATTCCTGATACTTTCTGTGTGTTAGTTACTAGCTTAGATTAGTGTGGGGGTTGTTAGGAGTGGCCTGGTTTCTTTCCTTCTTTTTCCTAGCCAAGGAAGTATCGCCTGGGGATGCTGGAGGAGAGGCTAGTTCCGATGGGATCAAAGGCACGAAAAGCAAAGAACCCTATTGGCTGCCTTGCTGACAGGTGTAAATCAGGAGTACCCATCAATATGGTTTGGTGGAACAGAGTCACAGAAAACAATTTACAGGTAAAAATACTTTTTATAGACATTTTTGAAAGTGAATATATTGGCTGCTTTCTGTGTGGGGTGGTGGGTATGAGATTGGATGGCTTAGCTGATACACTTAGGGTTTTTTTTTTATCAAAGTAAAATTAGTGGCCCATTAACTATGATTTTGTTTTGTGGCTTTTTTGCGCTTTCTCTGCTTTTATGTTCCTATTCTTTCATTAAATTTAGTTTTTCCTGTTGGATTTTGTTAACAATGCAGTTTAATTATTTTTAATACACAAAGTTGTTCAGGGTACTACATTAAAAAGTCATATTATAAAACTGATTACAGAAAATCTCAATTATTTGGAGTCTGAATAACAGAAAGCTCTATGTGTTGTCTTTTTGTACATTTTTACTAGGAGATTAAAAATTGTGTCTAAACAAGCTTGTCAAGTGTTGGCTCTGAAGCCAACTTCAGTAGTTTGTTGTCATAGATGCATTTCAGTCTTTGCATATTCTGTGCTAATGAAAATGAATTTTTATAACTCACAGGCTAGCTCTTGTATGACTGAATCTGAAGTACCCACCGAATAGTTTGGATTATATCCCATTTTAATTTGGATTATAATGATTATAGTCTCATAAAGACATTGGTAATTGTATTAAATGGATAGCTCTACTAATCAAAATTTCAGTTTGGCTGGAAGTGGAGTATCTTTCATCCCAAACTTCCTGAGTAAATTCGTATTGTTTTTAATATATTGCTAGTCAAAAGTCTGTAACTCCACATCTACACATCACAGTCAGAAAAATTACAAAATTAACAACTTGGCTTTATTTCTGTCACCAGCTTTGTATTATGAAGAGATTTCACAGTACTTTGTTCTGTTTAATGTTAATACCATACCAGTATCTGTGCTGCCTTGGGCACAGAAATAAAAGTTGTTCTGAAAATACTGCACATGTCGCTGATACTTTGGTAGTGTTTTTTCTAAATATAAGGAAAAATAGGGAAATGAGCGGGGTGGGGGGGATCCACATAATCAAATACTTAAAATCCCCGGTGGAAAGTCTGGGATATGTCATTTATGAATAAGAATATAGTTTACTGAATTTTTGTTTTTGAGATCAGTAGAGAGATTTGATGTGGTTACTGTTAGAATTATTTTTCAGTTTTAAAAAGAAAGCCTGAAAATAAATTGGGTCCCAATTAATTAAGAACAGATACAGGTGGAACTAGAACTACGTGTTGGTTTCAGGGGACACATGGGTAATGCAGAGGCATGGACACTTGACTGCCCCACCTGCCCGCGGCTGTCCTTCCCTCTTATCTCTGTGGTAGCTTTGAGGTACCTCTTTTTAGCATGGCTTGGAAAATCATTAAGTTAGTATAAGAATATGTTCTAGAATATGCTTTATTTTTAATTTAAAAAGCTAGTGATAGATTTTGGAGAAGGAAATGGCAACCCACTCCAGTATTCTTGCCTGGAGAATCACATGGATGGAGGAGCCTGGCAGGCAGCACCCACCGGGGTCGCAAAGAAGTCAGACAGGACTGAGCAACTAACAACATGGTAATAGATTTGCATTCAGTGTGTTAAAGACTGAATTGATGTTATCTGAATCTAATACTTCAAATACTAATACTACTTTGTGCTTCAAATAGTTGAAATAGTTCTTTTTCTTTTTTTCCCCCACTTTTAAGGGACATAAGGAATGCCTTATTAGCTTAGTCTGATGTTGGAGGGACAGTGGTACTGTACAGTATCAGTCACGTGGTGTCTATTACTGTCTGTGGATTCCTAGATTGGGTACCTGGCGCTGTTTATTCAGAGCAAAGAGTATGTCAGTGCAGTTTTCTTTTCTGTTGGAGTCTTTATCTTTTTTTGTTCTATAAGAAAAATAGCTTACATAAATCAGTTCTATATGGATTCTTTTTAATTTTGTATGTTTGTTTACTTTTAAGTAGTTTGGATTTTTCACAGATAAAAATCTCTAAAGTATTGTGTAGCCAGATATATTCATCTTTCCTGTTTCATTTGTTTCCTTTCTTTCAAAGCTTAAGTCTTCTCAATCCTAAAGTCAGAAAAATACTTATCTGTATTTTATTTTAGAATTATAGTTGTGTTTCTTAAATAGTTCCCTTGTACCTGACACTGCACTAAGCTCTTTACATATTTTGTCTCTTTTGGTCTCTTATCGGACAGTCGTTATTCTTAAGAAACATTTTTAGATAAGCTAAGTAATGTTAACTTTAAACAGTGGTCAGTGGAGGAGCAGAAATTTGAAGCCATGTGTGTCAGGCTTCAGAATCTCCTCATATATGTGTGACATAGTTCTTGCTCTACTGTGTATAGGCATGTAGCTTATGTGTGACTCTACCATATTTGTAAGGTCAGTCTTTTTTTCCTCATGGTTCATCTTTTTTTTTTCTCGGTGACAGTTCACTTCACTGCCTTTCTTTCTGGAACCTTAGATATTTCTTTGCATTGATTTCTTAGTCTTGACCCAGCATCTTTTTGGAAGACAAATTTTGGAAAAAGTTTTTTTACTTCTGAAAACAAAACAACCAAACCAAACCAAACCCCAGACCAAGCAAAAACCCAAGTGACAACAAAAACTTCCTCTGAAAGTTTCTACCTGGATCATTCATAATTGCATTTGTTCTTTACAGTGCGAGACCTGTGATTTCCAGCCTTTTGCTACGTAAATCTTTTATTTTCTACCAAGAATCTTGTGATATGAAAGAGTCTACTTGAACACATGACATTTGTGAAACAGTGATTCTTCTTAAATATAGACTATACTAACTAGAGAATCAAAGAAACTGGAAGTAGCTAATAAGTAACTATGGTGGAGGCTAAATTTATTTTTCACATGGCTGTTTGAAATATTGATAATATCTATCTGATCTCCACTACTGCTTCTGTGAAGCTAGAAATAGAGTCTAGTCTTTTCTCTGATTCCTTTAAAACCCATTTATTCCTTCCATGCTTGTAGTTTGGTGTGATCAAAATTTTGCCAGAAATTTGTGTATGTGGAGAAGGGAAAAACACTCGGATCGAGGCAGGCCAAATCTTCAGTGACAAAAGGATATACATCTACATGCAAAGATACCAGAGGCATTAAGACACCTTCAGAGTTTCAGAGGTCTCCTTAATCACCACACCCGGAGGTCTCAGCCCGTACTTTGTACTGCAGGCCGCCTTTTCATTTCAGTCTCCTTCCCCAGCTCATGCTTGACTCTCTTTCAGTCCTGCTCCTTGTGAGCCCCTGTTTTCGGCTCACTTGTTCTTTGCTCTGCCCTGTATGTCTAAGATTCTTAAATTTTTATTTGTATTAGAACTGGACTTCTCAGTTCAAGACCCACATCTTGATGCCTTCTGGTTTTTTTTTTTTTTTTTTACTGTTTTCACAGTACTCGATATTATTTAACTGTTATTTCATTCTGTTTTAAACTTCTTTACCTGTTTGTCTTTTCCAACTGAATTATAAGTATGTGTGACTAGGCATGTTTATTTTTGTACCCAATAATTAAGGTATTCTGCTTGTTTCTAAATGTCATGTTTAATTTTCCTTTCTTAGGCAATATGTGAAATTTGTAGTAGTTTAAGAATTTTATGTATTTTGAAAAATTGATCATAGGTTATCTGGGATTTATAGCCACTGTATGTTACTATTTAATTATCATAATTGATTTGGAACATAGGGTGGTGATTTCTTTTGCTATCTTAGAGGATCTTTTATTTTTTTAATTAAAAATTTAACATTATTGGTATATTCTTGATATTTTTCAGTCTTCCGACCTGGTGGTAGTCTTACTTCTTGACACTGTTGTTAGGTGACAAAGCTCTGTTTTGTGTTTTTCTTATGGCCTCAGTCTGAACACCAAACAGGTGTTGTAGATGAAGGGTCACCTGAGACTCGGGATTAGCAGTTGTTTTTCACTGAAATGCAAGTTCGCTTTCATCTTAGTCTCTGTTCAGGGTGATTGCCTATTCCTCTGCCTGACCAATCTGTATGTGAAATTGAGATTTTTTTTTTTCATTTGCACTAGTGATTACACAGTTCAAAGGCCGTTGTTCAGGATTGAAATATTTTATCACCTACCTTATAGAATCGTTGTGAGGATTCACATTTCTATTTGAATCTGTTGTTTGTATAGTAGATACTAAATGTGTTCATTCCTCCATTTTGACCTCATCACTTCTAAATTTGGTGTTTGTTTCTATTTATTTATGGTGGTATTTGTCATTTATATTCAGATGTGCATGGCCTTATGGTATATATGGAAAGAGGCTGTGACATTGTACCTTTTAGGAGCTCTCATTTTGATGCTGATACGCTTGAATAGTTAAAGTAATTCCTTTAAAAATAGTTAAAGTAATTCCTTTTTTGAAGGGTAACATTGTGTTCCCCAGCCTTCATGTTATTAGATGTCATCTTGAATGAAAGGATGGAAAGGCATGATTTTATAAACTTCTCAGGGTATTGCATGCTAAGATTTACCTAAAAGTAATGATATGTTACATAAAGTCATACTCATTTTGTCTTTGACCTTTGGAAATAGTGGGGTTATGAATCAAAAATTATTAGTATTACTGTTAATTTAGCTTTACCCCCGAAGTGATGGAAATGAATGAAAACAGTGGGACTGTTGGGTGTATTAGTAGACTCATACTTGTTGACGTCTCTTTTGATGGTGTTTTCCCCCTTGTGGTCTGATTGAATGGTATTTATTTCTTGTATTTAGTTTGTAAGAATGCTCACATTAAAATCTCTTGGCCCTCAAGTTCTGCTGTGAATTCTAGTTGCTTGTTATTGATGCTTTTACAACCCAGGGAGGTTTGGTAACTCACTACATGTGCTTTAATCTTTAGTTACTGAGTTTGGTGTTATTTCAGGAGATTTCTAGTCTCATGCCCAGGAAATGGGATCCTTTGGGCTTTAGATGGGAGTGGATTGGGATTTATAAGAGTGAGGCTTCAGTCTGTCTAATCAGGATTCCTCAGGACTTTGAAAAGTTATAGAACTGT